ATTCCAACGTTTTCTTTCACTATATATATAAGAGATCGGAAATAACCCTCTCCACTTTGAAAGTATCCCAAATTGACTCTTACTATTTAAGAAAAAAAGTAACCCACAACAGAGAACAGGTGATTTATTTTTTGTAGATGTCTGCCCCGCTCAGTGGGAAATGGTTATTTGTATATAATTTCTGTTGCTTTTGGTCTCGGACATTTATCGCTGGGAGGGAAAAAATAAAAAGAAAAACTAACTCAAAACTCAAAATATACTAAACTATAATAGAACCTATACCAACATTTAATTCTGCTTATACTGTTATAAATATATGGACGAAAAAACGATCAATAAAATAAAATAAAATAAAATAAAATAAAATAGAATAAAATAAAATAAAATAAAATAAAATAAAATAAAATAAAATAAAATAAAATAAAATAAAATAAAATAAAATAAGATAAGATAAGATAAAATAAAATAAAATAAAATACCTTATCATGTTAAAAATGTGCGCGCTTTCTTCTGTGTCATAAATGCTCGCACATGTATGTACGTCTGCTTATATTTTTCTGTCTTTCAGTAACCAAAAAACGAAGACACTTAAAAATAAAAGTTCCCGCGAAAGTGTCTTTAGGGATTGGAAATTTAAGCGGTTGATAAATAACCCACAGCAGGAATCACAAAAAGATCACGGTGAGAAATACTCTTTGCTTGAGAGATTTGTACTTATGTCAGTGAGAAACACAATAAAAAATAAGTTTACATGGTTATTTATGTAACTTTTGAATTTGTCCTGTCCCAAAGATAAAACTTTATCAAATCAATTTTAGTCAGTGGAAATTAAGCTTGCTGAAAAATTTTCAACGCAATTTTAAAATTTTAAGGGTCGGTTTCTCCAACTCAACTTAACTTAGTTTAGCCATTTTTTGGACTTAAGTCAAAAGTTAGCCTACTTTTTACACAGTAAGAGTAAGAGTAACCATTTAAGGGTCATCCGCTTATGTATACCCTGCCTGAAAGGTTTAAAAAGGTAAAATAATATACTATACATATCGAGCCCTAACTGCCAAAATAACGTAAGCGACATTTATTTCAAAATTTTCTTTTTGATGCAGAAATGCATCTAGATGCTCTAGGAATATTTCTGCATCAAAAAGAAAATTTTGAAAAAATGTCGCTTACGTTATCTTGGCGATTAGGGCTCGATATGTTCCAGTAGTTACTAGTTCGATCTTTTTTAGCATATTAGACTATAATTGAAATAATATGTAACTTAAGGAGCAAGACAAATTCCTTTAACAAAGCTTCTAATCCGTTGAGGCTTCTAATATTTAGCGCCTATATATTTGTGCATAACTGTCCAAAGGTATGCAAACAAATATTAAAAAAATATACATATATAAATAATAACGAAATGGGACAGAAGCGTCCCACCGCAGCGCAAATGGCAAAGAAAAGCGCAATTTTCCGCCGCAAAAGTCTAACAAAGTCTTATTGTGATGCAGCACAGCGGGCAGAAATACGTTTTTTTAACCTTTCCTGCAAATCAAAAGAAAATAATCCTTTGATGTTGCGGTAAAGCAAAGAATTTTTTTTCCCATATATTCATACATATTTGTGTACACATGCTTACATATGTCCATACGATTCTATATGTATTTGTACTATATATGCATGCGTACTTTAACATATATATGTATATATAGTTGTGGGCATATAAGTATGTAAACACGTTTCACTGAGGCGTGGGTCGCTAACTATTTGCCATGTCCATAATTTTTTGTCATCTCTACAGGTGACTTAGACAAAAAAAAAACTGTTTTGACTAAATTTGACCTCGTTTTGTATGCACATGTGCTCAAACAACATAGTTGTTGATTTGTACACTTTTATGTTTTGCTTCTTATAGGCGGCATACAAGGTGCGTTCCAGCATATGGAAAGGAAAAAAAATTCAAGCGGAATTTCGATTAAAAATGGGATTGATAGCCGACAAGCCAAACAGCGGTGGATTCCACACCAAATCGAATGATGGAAATACTGCCAGAGAATTTTTCAATAATGCTGGCTTGTCCGCTAGGTTGGTGTTTTGGAGATGCTTAATCACGACCACGTTATGTTTTATTACTTGTTATAAATAATTACATGGAATTAAAAAGAACAAGTAAGAAAGTCTAAGTTCGGGCGGAGCCGAACATTAAATACCCAAGTATTAAATATATGTTTTTTCACCCTTCCGAAACCTTCCGCTAGTTGGTAAGCCGAAGTGTATCAATTTTGGGTTAATTAGCGTCCTTCAATTTCGAAATATTGAAGTTTAAAGCATTTCTTAAATTATACCGTTATATGAGAATCGGCCGTTATTTTAGTCCGATTTCAATAATTTTCAACGTTTTGCTTACACGTGGCAAGTACAATAACCATACCGAGTTTGGTACAAATTGGTAGAACGGTTACCGATATACTTATATGTGATCATAAGTGGGCGGTGCCACGCCCATTTTCTAAAATTTTACCATAAACGTATTTCTTGGTAAAGAATTGTTGCAAGCATCAATTTTGAATAAATTAGCTTCAATATTTAATTATTTATCGAAGATTTTGTATTTCTCTAAATTACCGTTATATGGGATGTGGGCGTGGTTATTGTCCGATTTTAAAAAGTTTAGGCGGTTTTTTATGCTGTACCAAAGCCAACAACTGTGCCAAGTTTGGAAGAAATTGGTGCATCGGTTACCAAGATATACACATGTAACCATAAGTGGGCGTGGCTACGCCCATTTTCCAAAAATTTATAATATTCTTATTTTTCGTCTAAAACTTATTATAAATATCAATTTTAAGTGAATAATCTCCAGTAGTTACTAAAATATCGCAGTTTTCGTATTTCTGAAAATTACCGTTATATGGGAAGTAGGCGTGGTTATTGAGCGATTTTTAAAATTTTCGGCCATTTGGTATGTTCTACCAAGGCCAATAACTGTGCCAAGTTTGGAAGAAATCGGTGCAACGGTTGCCAAGATATACACATGTAACCATAAGAGGGCGTGGCTACGCCCATTTTTCAAAAATTTATAATATTCTTATTTTTCGTCTAAAAATTATTGTAAATATCAATTTTGAGTGAATTATCTTCAGTAGTTACTAAAATATCGCAGTTTTCGTATTTCTGGAAATTACCGTTATATGGGAAGTGGGCGTGGTTAAAGTCCGATTTCGCCCATTTTCAATACCAACCTACCTTGGATTAAGGGAAACCTACATACCAAATTTCGTTGAGATATCTCAATTTTTGCTCGAGTTATCGTGTACACGGACAGACGGACAGACGGACAGACGGACGGACAGACAGACATGGCTTAATCGATTTCTTTTTTCATCCTGATCATTTATGTATACATTTGACTATATCTATCTCGATTCGTTTTGGCTGTTACAAACAACCGTTATGTGAACAAAATTAATATACCCTTGTGCACAAGTGCGCTCGGGTATAAAAAGAAAAAATTACTCCACTGGAAGAATTTTTGGGCGCTCGCTCAATAAAAGCCCGTCCACTGTGCCATGTGCGCGATGCAGTAACAGAGGCAGCTTTATTGGGTTTAAGAGCCAACTGAAGTCCGCAGCGTCTCTTCGCAATGAAGTACGACTGCAACCGGCTTACAACCTGTCTTACAACTTATCGGCTTACACTTTTAGCCTGCATTCAGAAATCGTGCCTCTACATAAGACAAATTTCAAATGAAAAGGAAAATACAGCCTGTTCTCTTGGTGATTACCAGGGCATGCGTTCAAAGAACTATGATTTATGGCATGCATCTGGAATGTTCGGACTTAAAATACGGAAGCTGCCTTTACACAGCTGGTTGATGAGTTGGGGATAGATAAGGATTATATTACCGACAATCAAGAAACGCGATAGACCGATGCTTGCGACGTCGGTAGAAAATAATTTAAAGATGCAGCGATTCAATTTAAAAAGAATAAGAAGTTCCCTTACTTGATTAAATTTAACTTTTTTAAACTAGCCTAAAATAGAATTTAAATGATTGGCCCGTAGTCATAGTCAATATAAAGTCGACAGTAAAGTTAGTTGCAGCATTTGAACATAATTTTCAATCGGATTTTTGTCAAAAAAGCTGTAAGTAACTTTACAGTCGACTTTATAGACTTGGATGGATGAAGGTTTAAAAATGTCTCGACTCCGGCGCCACGTAGCAGCACAAATACGGTGTTGCATTTTTGTGATATCCGTACACTCAACATCTTGGTAATTTTTTATCACTTTTCAACTTAAAAGAGCTGTTCCCAAAAACTCAGTGTCCACTATAAAATGTACTATAATGGACTTAAAGAGATCGCTTTCGCATGGGGCCCAAAGCATGGAATTCTACAGCACTAGGTTCCAGCATTAGAATCTAGATTACTAATATGGCTGTCTTCTAATTGGAAAAGTACTTACCACCAAAGCGGTCAAGTTATGATAGAGGGTCTACCCGTTTCTAGATCAAGTTGGAATTCTAGGACCAAGATAAGAACCCTATGCGCCTATGCCATCGAAAAACAATCACAACCTACAGACAGCATTGTCGCCACTCGACTCCAAACTGATTAGTGAAAGTGACGGGAGAGAGAAAAATTAGTCAAAGTTGCAAAATGTTAAACTGTTTTTAAATTTTAAGTAATACCACTATTGGAATAATTAAAAAAACATTAATAGAATCTAGCTGAATTTTAAAATAAGCGCTCCAGCGATTTGTCAGTAAAAAAGTGTTTAATGCAGATGGGAAGACAGAAAATTCACTAACTCCCAGCTATGAATACTTATAGAATTGTATTAAAATAAAGTGCACAATCGATAAAGCAAATGCGTAAAATTACTTCAACCAACTAGCCGCATTAAATTTCGGTCTTACTTATATATATTGGCACTTACTTATTTACAAATTACTTCTAAGTAAATATGTAGTAAGGGCATAGATAATCCCGCCCTCTCTTCGGCACTCCACTCACCTCTGGCTGGCACCGGATCCTTTTGCGGTGTGCCCAATTCGATTTCCTTGTACTCCTGATACAAATCACCAATTTGTGCTGTGCATCGCAAAACCAAACCACCATTGCCCACACCTACACCAACACCAACACCAATTCCAATTCCACCGCCGCCGCCGCCGCCGCCATTGTGTGTATTATAGGGCACACCGATAGCAGCCTGACTGCCGCTCAGGTGATTCATCAAGTGCTGGGTATTAATGGCGGCAGCAAAATGTGCTGCATGCAATTGCAGTTTCAGGCTCAGTCTCGACGCTATTAAATTGTCAACCGTTCTGATGTATTGCGTTTCGCCCGTTGATACCTGTGAAATGCGCAAAAAAAGGAAAGAGAAGTGAAATTAAAATTAGAAAAAAAAACCAACATAAACAGTAATGCTAAGCAGATGGAGAATAAAGCAATGAATAGTTAGTAGTTAAATAGTCGCATGTAATGGCTAAATGTGAGCAAATAGTCGCATAGGCTGTCCTTGGCATGTGAATATGCACAGGTACAGGCGTACATGTACGTTTTTTGTATGTATGTATTTATGTATTTATGCGCTCTTGCTATAGCTACATATATGTAGGTGAATAGTATTACAGACACCGCGCTAAGCTGCTAAGAGATTTAGTGAATGTGGTTGTGCATGTGCGAGTATAATTCAGCAAATCGGTCCTGGTATGTGTGTAAATTTACACACATGCATACATATTTTTTTTTTGTAGTTAGTCGCCGATGGTAGTTCTTGGACGTATGTACAAAGTACCGATTAAGTGCGCTCAATGAACTCCATTCAGCTTAGCTTTACCTTTAGCTTGTCGTAGTTTGGCTTATTTCTACTGCTTCGCTATATCAAGTGAAGCGATTTTTTGTGGCGACGGCCAGTTTACTTTGTAAATTATTGTAGTACAGTGATTAATGTCACTTGGCGTGTATGTGCTGACGCTAATTAATTTAAAAATATAGCACCTAAAGTGAGCAAGTAATGGACTTTTCGACTTTTGCTTGTGGGTAGGTATTTCAATTTGAGTTTTTAAGAGAAATTTAAGTTTCCTGGAACGAGAACTGATAACGGAATGAAAGTGTTTCTGAATGATTTTTGTTGATCATGATATATGATTAGTTTTTACTTGTGACAACTTACGCCTGTGTTATTTTTTTTTATAGCAGCCTTCGGTACAAAACTAAGTTCTAGACAAGCCTTATAGATTAAGACAATTATCGGACATAAAACGCCAGATGCTGACCGAAGTTCGCCAGGGAAAATATTATCAATGCCTGGAGATTTGTGGGGCTGGAAGGACTTTATGGCTCTCTTTACATCAATAAAGCTCGCTGAAGCTAACGATCGCTCAGAGTTAATGAACGCGGTGCTAGGTCTCGCAGTACACCCTGGAAAGTGCGCGCTCATTAGGACTTGACGAATTTCCTCACGAGATGACGTCCAGCCGCCATTTGGTTACTGAATATACATCGGGTTCGTCGGACTTCCCTCAATACTATCGCAATAATCCTTCCAGGAGTCCCTTTTGGGCTTTCCTGGTGGCATTTTTAAATTTATTTAGGGCTGCCTTGAATTAAATAGTTTCCCCCCTTCCTTCCTTAGAGCGACGATTTCTTTGGTCCAGCAGTATGGCTTGCTCTTTCCTCGCGGAAGTACAATTGGGCAGGAAGCAGAGAAGACCCATTACAGGCATCGGTAGTGCAATCAACGGCTTCCTCAATTTGTTCCGATGAGCTTATTTCACCGAGAGAAGCAAGATTTTTGAATGAAGGCAATGATGGCAGGTAGGTCCAATATGAGTTCTAACATCACAAAGTAGTTTTTGTGAAAATTGAAGATAGAGGGTGTTGAATATAAGCCCTCGATACATGATAAAGTTTTATTTTTTTAATTACGAACTTTTTTCATCGGCATAGGGTGATTTGAAATTCGATGAAAATAAAAACATGCACTGTGCGAGACTACTCTTCACTCAGAAACGGCTGCACGGTTATGATGAAATATGGCAATCGCATCTCTTATAACTCTGGCTACCAATTGGAATACTCTTTTAAGTTTTTGAAATTAAATTTGGGACGTTTTAACGTCGTGCGGGTTCACTAGTGTAATTATATATTTTTTTAAATGTGCTTATGCTTATATTGCCTACAAGTCTAATGCCATTTTATAACTTTCCTCAATGACATCTCATAATATTTTTATCATTTTCTCTCTTACTTAACACTCGGACAAAAAATAGCTAGTTTCTCATACGCAATGTACCACCATTGTCGCTTAAAAAAAAAATAAAGCAAACAACCAGTAAAAGAATAACAAAAAAGGCGAAAATTGGTTACCGAAAAACAAAAATGTGTCGCAAGGAGTGAAGTGGCTATGAATTCCAATTTGTCTCATGGTTATTGCGTACACAAGCGTATACAACATCATATATGTACATAAGTATGTACTTATGTATGTATGTATGTATGTATGTTGTTCCACATTTTACATGAACACACATAAGGGATTCAGAACACGAGTGCATACAAGCGCCACCACACTGCCAAACTGCTAACCGCTGGGCAATAAGCTCATTTTTGCACCAATATTGTTGCTTTTTTTCCAAACGTTGGCACATTCGTTCCTTTTCGCGTCTCTTAATGTTGGCATTATGTGCAAGTAAGTATGCAGTTTAATATTTTTCATATTTTATTTTTTGTTATTTTGTACGGTTTTATACGTGTTAACATTTCGGCATCGCTGACATTGCCACCAAGCAACAATAAATGCAAAAACAGCAGCGACCCTTTTATGCATTCAATACACAACTGCCTTCCGGTCAGCGAGGCGTCGTTGCTGCCCAACGGATGCACTTCGTCATGCAGTTTGACTATGCTTTGCGACCGTGCCGCCACAGTGCTCAGCTACAGCTCCTGTACATACGTACATACATTTATACGTATATACTAAGTATGTATACCCGGACAAGAGTGCGGAAGTGGTTGGCTTGCTGAGCGGTAGCATTGAATTGACATGCATGGTTCTGCTGGCTTGTCTGTTGCGGTAGCCGCGGTCTAGGGCTTGACCTCAAGGCGACGCAGTAAACGCATGTGCACGTTGCTGTCCACTGCTTGTATATGTTTTGCTTGGTTCACCATATATTTTAGGTTTGCACTTTATTTAATGCGTCCACCCAGCGAACTGCTACGTCCGCTGTCAACACATATCGAAATTTTTGTTTTCACATCAGTGGTCGCAAACAATTACGAGTGAGAAAATGCAGTGGGTTAACTGCAACAATGGCGCGCGGATAATAGTTTGGCAACAACTGCAACGCGCTTCAGAGTTAACAGATATTTAAGAGAGAATTTAGAACACTGCATTTTATAAGTTTCGTGTAAATGTATTTAAAAGGCTTTCCTTAAAATAATTGATATTTCAAACCAAGTAATATTTAAATTTTAACTAAGCCGGATTTTCTTAAGGAAATTAGAAAAGCAATTACAGTTAAAGCTGCACAGATTCAAGTGCAATATAAGGATTTTCCAAAGCTTTAACCCAGTTGCGTTTATCTTAAAAGGAGCATCATTTGCGCTGCAGTATTTCCTTTACGACTGTAATAAACGTAAAAATGCAATAAGGTAAATGCACGAAAGCAACAGCTAAAACCCACCTAGCAGGTAAATAAACAAACACACACACACACACACTCAAAGCATCAAGAGCTGCGAAAAGCGAGCGAATGCGGAAAACTAAGCCTACAAAGAAAATAAATTTCCTTTTTCCAATACCACAAACGGTTAGATTTTTATTATTTTCCCATGCAATGGCAGATTTTCAGTTTCCGCAAAGAGCTTTGTATGGAAATGCAGTAATTTTTTTTGTGTGTATGTATGTATGCAAACACTGCTGCAATATCACCGTTAAACGGAAACTTCATTGTTAACACCTGCAGCCATGTAGAGCGACAAACAAAACCGACCGACACACTGACACTGCGACTGGCAAATACATTATTGTTCATCTCGGCGTTTTATACGCAGAATGCGCTGCGCTTGAATATTTCCAGCTGTGCAGCGTATTTTGTGACGTTGCTATTCTTTGTCATTTTCAATCGGTTTTTTTTTTGCCTCGAACCTTCTTGGCTTGAGGTTATTTGTCGCTCATTGGATTTTCAATAAAATCTTATTTTATATATTTTTTTTTATAAATATTGTTTCACTTTTCGCTGTATCAACTTGTTGATGAGTGGATGAAGAGGTAAGTGTACAGTGTGTGTGTTGATGAATTTCCATATAATGTATTTATGTATGGAGACCTTTAATGTAACTGATAGCATCAAAATAATTGAACATCAATAACTTTATTGTCACAAAAACTGGCGACAAGCTGATTCGTTTTTTTGTTGGCGCAAATAAAACAAATATTCAAAGAGAGCACCAGCAATGTCCGGACCCTTCATGAAAAAAGTGTCGCTGACCGGATGGTTGATGTTATCAGGAGGACTAAGGCTAACATCACCGTCATGTGGGAAAAGCGCTGGGAGGGGCAAGGTGAGGAAAGCACGGGATCTTGTGTCGTCTACTATAAAAATGGTATAAAGGAGGTGTAGAAAAACTCTCTGGTAAGTGTGAGCGCACTTATGGGCGCTGCTCCGGTCACGGTATTAAAATCATTATAGCCGATTTGAATGCCAGGCTCTGAAAAGAATGGAAATTCAGCCTTACCCACAAAACGTTCGATAGCGGACTGAGGCTGATCAGTTTCGTCTGAAAAATGATTGTCTCTAGCAAATGTCACGAAGCTAAGTGGTATGAGAGAAGCGATATATATTTGCTAGAATAAGAAGGCAGAGGCCGAAATACGTAATGGCGAAGGGCTTAAAACTGTGGCCGACTGAAAAAACGACTGGGAAATTTACCAGACTTTAAGGCGACTTACGTAAGGTTTCAAGAACAGGGCGAACTCCTGTAAGAACAACCATGGAAATCTGGTGAGTGATGTCAAGAATGTACATATTTTATGAAGCGAAAACTTTTCGAATCTATTGAATGGCAGACTCACTACAAGTTTTGGAAAAGACGAACGTGAGCCCCCAGTCAATATCCCAGCGCCTGACCATGACTGGCCCGACGGACGCTTAAATGCTGCGCACGGAGTCTTATTGAGTGTATTGTTTGCAAGGCCAAACAAGTTGTGGGCCACAATGGCTTTTGACCAAAAAAATCGACCATAAACCAGGTTTTCTCTGCCAAAAAGATCCTGCAAGAGGAGAACCGACAAAAACCATCGCTTTGTCGATTTTAAAGCCTCTTCGACAGCACGAAAACTGACTGCTA